ACAAGTGCATCGCTACTAGTAACAAGTGCCTTACTAGTAGTAACAAGAAGCTATTAGGAACCATTGGCCTCATCATGTTTCACTTGCTAGTAGGTTGGAGGCCATTGTTGGCCGCTAGACTTGGGCGACAGGCACGAAGGACGTGTGGATGCCAAGAGGCAGCAGCTCTCATCCATTCGTCAGGTGCGCTCTTTGGGGAGCTCGCGGGATACAGTGACAGTCTCTGATCCATCTTGGGGACGATAGGTGTGGCTTAGGCACTGCATTCATGCCTTCATTATCCTTCATTCCTCTTTTCATATTATTTTTCATACTCACCACAAGTGGGAATCCAAATCCTGTTTCTCTAAAGAACTGGTTGACAAACGAGACCGGTCTCAGAAACTGGAATGGGAAGGAGACTTGAGTGTCTCCTTGCGGCGACAGCACCGCATGAAGTTCCATGGCACAGACCCGTCATCGAACTTCGAGCATGTCCGGACAGATGAACAGGCGCCTAGCCCACACGACAACCGGTTCGCTTTTCGCGACAAGCCCCACACGAGTCCCGACCACATCGGCGGTTGAGGCGGTGGTTGGTTGAACATGGCGAAATCGTTCGATTGATTCGATTCCATGTTCTGCCTGCTCGGTTGGGAACATTTTCTAGCATGGGTTGGTTTGACTGGTGTTTTGGTTCATCCCGCGACACTGGCTAATTGAGTCCGTCCGTCCAGAAGTGCCTTGGAAAAAGGGCCGTACGAGGTTGTTCCAACAGAGGGGGGGGGTTCCAGTGCTTCTAACCACCTTAGTTCATCCTATATTTCTATATATAGTATTCTATATATAGTGGTTCTATAGTACTTAGTACATGGTTGATGGTTCTATATGATATAGATGGGTGCTAGAACGACTGCTTCTTACTAGAGACTTCCGAAGTGGTTCCGCCTCAGTTGCTCAAAGAGTGCAAACAGCAAGCCTGGCATTGTTGATCGGTTGAGTTGGTTTTGTCTTGTCCCTCCCCTTACTAGCCATGACTTGACATAGTGTTCCAAGTATAGGACACCGTTGTCCACCAAAGTCAGGCTCCATAAAACCCTCCAAAGCCGATCGGCAGACTCTTCACATCGCCGTCAGATGTTCAAGACCTTCGCCCAAGAGCTGTCGAGCAACTTGACGAAAAGCCCGGACGCCTGAGGGACGGGACGGTGGAAAAGGGTGTGTCACGTGTTCAACCAAACTCGAAACCGGAGTGGAGTGAAACGTAAAGCTTGTTACTACTAGCTTCTTGTTACTACTAGTAAGGCGCTTGTTACTACTATAGCGTGGCACTTGTTACTACTAGCTTATGTTGTGTGGCTGGCAGGCTGGCGACCCGACTTTTGGGCACCGCACCGCCAAAACTCTGTTAGGCCAGAACGGGCCTTATATACCTGAAACTCCCGGTGAACGAACTTGAGTTCGCAATCCTGCGATTTCGTATATGTGTGTCGTCGGCTCACACTGAGTGGAAACGTAGCCGAACCGATGCGAATCGTAGACTTTGCCGTAGGCACCCTTCAAATGATAAGAACATATAATATTGATACCAGTAACAAAAAAGCTAATAGGGGCTCCTGGCCTTACTACTAGGAGCAAGGAGAGCAAGGACGCTACTAGGGGCTCCTGGCATCGCTACTAGGAGCAAA